AAAAAAAAAAAACTATTTGATTTTATATAAATACAATTAATATGATGTTATTATGTTGCTCTTTGGTTCAATGCTTGGGTTTATCTGCAATATACGGTGGTTGTGATTTTAGATTGTTTCTGCGTCTGGACGTTCTATCTATCTCTATGTTTTTTATTTTTTTTATTAATATATCGGTGGTATTTAGAAAAATTAGATATTTTATGGAGTAAATTTATTCATGGAATAATAAATGAAGATTACTACTACAACAGTAAACAAAAAGGGAAGAAAGTGGATCAACCTTATTTAGTGAACGGGTTGGAGGTTTCCATTTTGTAGCGGACAATGATGGGTGGCCATCAGAAAATGTCATGGTCCCACCCAATTACATAACAAACGTGTCGTCTTCACCTCCTCCAGATATATTGTCTCTTACCCACGCATTAGTCAAGTGCTTCTTTAATAAGATTTTCAATCCTTGTTTTTTTTATTGAATATTAAATCATCATATAATCACTAATAAAAAAAGTATTCTATTGAAATATTAAGAACTTTGAACGAAATATTAAATTGACATATCCTTGACCATAATATATAATCTAATATAATGCTAAAAAATTAATCATCCAAGTTATTCAAACTATAATAAATAAAACTATCAATTATAAGAAATTGTCACACTAAATTAAACACTAATCAATCGTTTGACTCGTCATCATCGTTGACAATAAACTTTCTTTTACGTGTAGTGGTTGGAGTAGCATTGTTACACGGCGGGGTCCCATCAATATCATCCAAATTCTTCATGTCACTCAAAGCCGTCTCCTATGTCATTTGAAAACCACATAAAAAACAAACAAACAAAATAACTCAAAAATAAGGAAAACCATTTAAAATTATTGGAAGATAGATAAATGATACAACAAAGAGCTAGAAATATAGGTTTTACATAAATAAATAAATAAATAAAAACTAACCGTGGTTGAGTCAACAGGCTTGTATTCTTTTTCTAGAACATAATCTGGATTAAAATCCTTAGAGACGGTAAAGATATCGCTGTCGTGTTTGATATTATAATCAGACAATTGCAGGCATAACACAAATTTTTGCCCACAAAGGGAAGTAATTTCGCGTGGTAAGTTGTCCTTGTCCGGATCAGATTTGTTTACCAGCTTCAAAGGAGAAGAGTCTACCATCCTCTCAGCAAGTTTGTGAAGGACAACACAATTGACAACACCGGTGTCATCCCGAACAGACAAATGTAACTTGAACCTGATCACATATGGCAGAATGATTGAAGATGTAAATTATGAAAATGGTTAGCAAGCGTTAAAAGTTTGGAGCACTTACAATGTCAAAGCATTCTTGTACGCAACATTGCAAGAAGCACATTTGTAGACACCGTCAATAGGATTGACTTTTCTACAACATCCTTGACAACCTAAATAGAACCATCCATATTGTGTCTCAATATGTTCAATAACTCCCAAGATGGTTATGATGTAACCCTATGTACGTCAAATAAGAGGATGTTAGTGTAGAATAAAAAATTGTTTGATCAGAATACATAAAAATAATGGAATAATTGTCTCTTATCATTACTTTTAGTTTGTTGCTCCACTCTGCCTGCAACAGCTGTTGAATGTTCATCCGATTCTCAAACATCTCCTCTTCCACCGTTCTCTTCACCTTACCAGAAGACACTCCCAAGTGTAGTCGAGGACAAACATTAGCAAATATGTCAGCCAAGGCCAGCACATAGTCGGTGTTGAGATTAACATACAYTTTGCTTGCACTTGAAGTTGCAAAGTTTAGGACGCCTAACAATAAAATGTATATTATGTGAAAGTTAGTTAAAAAGATATAAGCTTTATATTATGATATAAAGATTATGAAAGAAATTACCTTGAAATTTTTTGACTCGGGTAGAAGTAATTATGATAATAAAAGTGGCACCCGACTTTTGCTTTAATTGGGAATCATCAAAAGTTTCACCAAGAGCTCCCCATAAAGTAACTTTGCATATGACATTGATAAGATAAATAGTAAGAGCAATTGGAAACAGTTAACCACAGTATCAAAGTATTTGCTAAAAGGAGAAACAACAAAATAACTTGGAAGATCACTTACAATTCCGATATAATCTCCAAGTCTCTTTTTCGAAACCCACCCCTCACAGTCTCAACATCTCCAACAGCAGTTAAACAACCAATAATATCTAAAAAAACCAAAAGAACATAAATCAATCAAGTGAGGTCAAAAAAGGTAAGAACTTCTTTTAGACATACCTGTGAGTATGTTGTCATCGTTGAGACGGTCATTAACTGTTTTCTCACTTGCAAGTTGGAACCCATGCATAGGGATAGAAGGAACATAGGTATCAAGTTTTTCCACCTTGGTTAATAGTGTAAACATAATCTTCAATTTTGAGTCAATGACCTTGAAGGCGCCAGAATTCTCAACCACCTTGAAATTCTTCAAAATATACACATTTCCTTCTTTCAACAAATGGTTGAACTTGTTGACCAAGTTCTTCCTTACCATTGCTGTCATGAGAGAGCCCTACGAAACAAAACAAAGGAAAACAAACAAATTAACCAAAACATAGTTTGCTATTACATGGTATAACAATAAAAATAAATGACACACATTTTCATCAATCACAACCATGTCCAAACTAATCAATTCCCCATTTCTCTTTGTATTCAAAGATTCCCACAACCTACATATCCTAATTTTTACAACCCAACTTTCATTATCTAAAACCAAGTTCTGTAATTCAACAAACTCCATATGTAGAAAGATTTGTAATATAAACTTATAAAGAGAAAAAGATCTTATGGTATACAAAGTTGTATGAGTAATTAACAAAGTAATAAAAAATAATATAAGCATGTGCATATATATAGTATATAAGCAACAATTAATTCATCATTAACACAAATTCATWAGTTATTTAAATGTCATTTAAAAGTTTGAATTAATGATGTGAATGTTACAAATTCATATGAGTAACTAAAATGTAGAAACATTGATTGAGACAATAACACTAACCATAAATGGAATTAAAAGCAATTTAAAAGTTTAAGTTACATGACCATAGAAAATGAATGGAAACACAAAGTATAACAAAGATGATTAAAGTAGTGTAATTTTATTATAATATTTCAAATAAATTAAATTACATTTAAAAACATTTATTGCTAATTATTTTATTAAAGCATTATTTCATTGTAAACAACATACTTTTAATTTTTTTTAAAAACATTATATTTATTAGTCCAATATTGAAGTTATATTATGGTGGTGTTTGGGATTGAGCATGCCATGAGCTAGAAATTAGAAAGACATTCTATGACAACACTTATGAATTGATTAGTTAAATAGGATATCAAACAGAAAAAAGCTAGTAAGCACAATCACAATGTTAAGTTTCTGTTGTATCATGAACAGTGACATGTTTCCATATACTCTATCTCGACAGAAATAATAGGAAGTAATACAATTAAGCAACTAAAATGAGCAATATAGATACGATTCATAGACTATGCTGGCAGCATCAGAGATCAAAGGACTTACTACTGAAAACCCATTACGTGTCAGATCATCAAGTGTTTGACGTAAATTCTGCAGAAGGGAAAATAAACAATACTGATGATTTAAAAAGAATACATGTATCAAACCCATTGGCTTCATAAAATGGAACATTACAGCCATAGATACAACAATTTTCACTACATACAAAAAGAGAACCTTTGTTATTTGTCAAACATTAGATGACTTGTGTTTTTGAAGTCGAATTACGACGGTTGTTAATGTTATTTCAAGTAACATTGGTTTGTTATTGGGCTCCAAGAAAAATTAATATTAATTTTTGATTAATCTTATATATATTAAAGAAGAAACCACGTCCAGTGATTAATATTGCAACGGTTGTTAATGTTATTTGAAGAAACCTTCGTTTGTTATTGGGCTCCAAGAAAAATTAATATTAATTTTTGATTAATTTTATTTATTTATGTTCGGTGCTCCCCATGGTTCTAAATCCTGGCTCCGCCCCAAYRCTAAATACATGAGGAAAGATTGTAGAATCCAATATTTGATTTATGATTAGAAATAAYGATGAGAAAGCTTCATCAATTTATTAGTTTCGCAAGGAGGAATGCCACCTTCAACCCTMAACATGAAAATGTGGTGAGAGGGAGGTACTAAAATACCTACATTGCAACTGGAAAGCATGCAAAGAAACTAACCTAACACAGGTCTTGATGCTGCTATTTTTATGAGCAAGGTTGCTGATTGCATCCGCTGCTTTCCTTATGGCACCATTGACTGTTCGAACATTCTGGTCATCCCTGCGCCTCTTAAGCAGAGCAACCAGATGAGGAAGCGCTCCAGCATCAACTATGAATTGTTGATGCTCAGGCTGTTAAACAATGGAAATCATAAATGCAATTCTCCAGTGAACTGTATACCAAGTACAATATATATAAATCCCAACCAATATGAGCAACATGTTTAACATCAGTTGGAATACCGTAAATCGAGAAATAGCCAACGTCTAAAATAAATATTCATAAATAGAGCTTTAAGACTCTTCAATTCGAATTATTGTATTTGATCTTTGTTGTAAATCAATTATCATCGTCTCTAAAATGCAAAATAACACTACTTCACAATAAAGTTCGAACTATTATCTATTCGTGTGAGTATTTTTACACTTCGACAACTTATTAGAGATCGAATTTACCTTTGGATTATATAGTTTGATCTATCGATTTCTTTTTATAACGATGATTAATTTATAACGAAAATTCGATAATTTATAAAATGAATCGCCTATAAAATACCTTGAGATGACCATGTGGACAGAGCAG